TGCTAAAGTAATATTTCAAATTAATCCCTCATAGCATAAGATCTTAAAGGGATATCTTGGGGACTTGTGTAGATATTTAGAAGTCCTCGGAATATTTTTAGGATACTCTGAGGACTTATGCGGACATTTAGCAATCCTCTGGATGTCTTTGCGACATCTTTTAAATCTTGTGCTATATGGGATGCCACTGCAATGTCTCTGCAACATTGTACTGCAATATGCAATGTTGCAACGTTATTATTATGTGAAACTATATCTATAAGAATAGCAAGCTTATCTTTTTATTTGAAAAAGAAAATCATTTATAACATAGTAAATTAAACGTTATCATAACGTCATTTTGCAAAGTCATTTTGACGTCTTAAAACATGACGTTAAATACATATCCTTAAAGGACAAATGACGTTTTTGGCCAATAGTGGCGACATATTGACGTCAAAATAACGACACCTTGCTGCTTGGAGACGTTCCTTACACGTCCCTTAGATAAAGTTTGTTGATGATTGTCTTTTTTCTTATGAACATAATTTCTTACTTTACATGTAAATAATGTTAATATATAGTCTCACACTCTCCTCCGGAGATTTTGTGGGAACGTAGAACAGGTTGAGGTGAACATAAAAGTCCTATACCGATTTTGTGATATTCGCAATAATTATCAAGATATTGTAGGAAATTTGTATATGATCATGCAGGATATGGTCAGTGAATTATAATAGCGACGACTGCCGTCATGTACTTATACTTTAGGTCAAATTGAACAAAAAAGTCCTTTACCATTTTGCAAATAATCACATAGATTTTTAATTATTAATTAAAGAAGATGAGTACATTATAACGCAAAATCGTGCAATAATCTTCTTTAATTAGTAATTAAAAATCTATGTGATTATTTGGAAAATGGTAGAGGACTTTTTTATTCAATTTGACCTAAAAGTGAAAAGTATGTTCCCCGCAACCTGTTCTACGTTCCCACAAAATGCCCGGAGGAGAGTGTGAGACACCCTGTATATGTAAATTGTCTGTGTTAGATGTGTTAATAAAAGAAAACAATACATTTTATCAATAACGTTGTTTCGAGTTAAAATAAAACATTCTGCAGATGTCATAAGAATGTCTGATACAATTTGTAGCAAATAAATATGTCCTCAAGTAATCCTATGAATTACGTTTCAGCTTGGATTAAACTGAGACCATTCTGATCAAATTAGGATATCCTATGAAAATCTATTGCTATGTGGGGTACTAACAATATATATTTGAATTTACAGTTTTTTTTACTTTTAGTAGGTGACACGCATAATTATATAAATTATATTTACAAAACTTCGTGAAAATCTCACTACTAGTATATATATAAATGTAAATAAAAGTGTCCTCTAACATGAAAATATATAATAAATAAAAAAAACATTTCACAGAAAGATATAAAATTATATAAATTGGTCTGTTTACTTGTTTTATTTATAAATTTATTAATTTATTCGAGCAAACTTAATATGCAATTAAATTATATTATGTGTGTACATAATAAAAAAATTTTTTTTAAATTTTTTAAACAACTTCAGAAAGTTATAAATATATAAGCATGTGGTCTGCCATAACTGTTCACTTAATTGGTAGAATTCGACGTATCAATCGATAATATATCAAAGTTCAATGATTATCTTGCAAAAGATAAAAATAAAGTCAACTTCCTTTTTAAAGATAAAGACAAATTGAAGACTTCCTTCTTAATGAATCAACATCGATATATTGAGTCACTATCATCACATATCTCGTTATCATTATATAATGAAAAATGTACATTATAGAGAAAATCTTAATACTTTATAGAGAAAAATAAAATACGAAATGAAATAAGACGAGAATTCGATTATGTTATATGATGTAACAGTAAATAGAAAAAATAAGTATAAGACCAAAAAGTTAAAACTAATTAATAAATTTATAAACGAGTTGAGGTTGCTCTTTTATAGTGTGATAGCGCGCAATGTCATTCCTATATCAATGGAGATCGTGATTCTGTCACAAAACTATTTAGTTCGAAAAAGCAGGGAATATCAAAGCAAACGATTTATTCTAATCTATTATGAGCCATTTCGAACAGCAAATATCGTAGTGAGTGAACAGTTTGCTATCGCTATCTATGCGATACTGTCTGACGATTTGGTATGATTCATCAGCAAGTAACTATACATACAGTTGGCGTAACCGTTGCATTATCCGATCAATAACGTTGTTTAAGTGACAATGGCGCTTTGAAACATACTTGATATCGATGTATCGCAAATATAAGATAAATAAAAAGATTCATATTTTATTCAATAAGAAACAAAAATAATATGACAATAGAGAACTTTTCAACTTTTTACATTTTACGCGCGCGCGTGTATGTGTACATATGTGTATGTATATTGCGAGTTTTATATTGCGCGAAGCATTCTGCATTATAAAAAGTCTACAATATATATTTTGCAAATATATAAAATTTGATTTCGAATCATTTCATTATTTTTTTAGCACGTCTAGAAATTAAAAAAAACAAGAAAAAAACATTTAAATTTATGGTGGGACCATTTTCTCAAGAGTGTTTATTAACTCCACTTTGTTAAATCGAAACTAATTTTTATTATAATGCTTCGCACAAATTTTCAATAAATTTATCGAATTTGTCGATACAATCTGAAAGAGATACTGCACACAAATTAATTATATTCATATAATTCATAGTACTATAACGATATAATTCACATAATACTTTCGTATTTCTCTCATTTTGTTTTAAAGTTTCATAATATACATATACAAATACATGTAATTTAACAAATCCAGTAATAATACTTGTTCAAACAGTAGGAAATTTAATATCATAACAGATTCGTGTTTATTCGACTGTAGCGACTGAGAAGTATATAAAAATGTATTGACTCTTGTAATAATAAATACAAGTATAGTTCCGATAAATTAATAGTATGGAATATAGTAAGGAATATATCATGTGTGTGTGTGTGTGTGTAATATTATTATCGTATAAATATATATATGTTATATTGTGTGTGTATGTGTGTGCGCGCATCACACGCGTTGTGTGTGCAGTTTCAGAAATAAGTGGCCAAACTTTAAGAACATATTTTACTCATTGCAACGATGAAAAAAGGTGGTTATTGAATGTAGATCCGAAAATGTTTTATTTTCAAATTATAAATACTTTGTTCACAACAAACTTCAGGAAGAACACTTTATCAAAGAAATTGCTGGATATGACTTCCTTCCGCATCAATTTATGCTTCGTATCTTATGGATTATCAACATTCAAAAATTCCTATAATATTTAGTATTTTGTTAAACAAAACGACAATACGATTTGGAAGCATTTCCACTATGGCAACAAGAATATCTTAAACGAGAATCTTAAGATATCATTATAAATAAAGATTCGAGAGATTCAAATCGAGAAAATGTATAAGCCATGCGATTAATTCTGTTCTGTCAATTCATCTATCAATGTAATTTAGAAACTTTTGAATAATGCGACTAAAATGTGTTAGAACTTTATTATGTACAAGAACCATAGTTGATTATTGATGGTGCGTATTTGTAGTGAAATGTCTTCTAGTTACTTCTATTATTATTGTTTACGTTTAATAGAAAGCGAATAATCGCAGTACTTGTAATTCTATGTTAGAATACTTGCGAAAATCTGTTATAAAAAAGCACTTATAATTTGAAAATAAAGCGTCTTTTACCTATGTTCATATAACATTTCTTCATCCTTACAATGAGTAGAACATGTCTTAAAGTTTGATCATCTATTTCTAAAACATGCTATGTATATGCGCATATGTTTACGCGAAATGTTATCAAGTTTCTAAGTCACTAATGTCACAGTTGATACTAATCTCTAGGTCACATTAACGAATCATAGTATCTCATTCGAAAAAACAGCGAAAAAAATATACATGTCGAATGCGTAATACGGAGCATATGTGCATCAGATTCCAATTTTATTTTTATGATATATATATATATATTCGGATCTATATATCTAATGTTGAGGAGTTCGATAATTAACCTTACAAAAACCACACTCTCCCGGATTTCGTATGTCGCAATTTATACAATTTTTAAGTTCACCGTTAAAATGGTTTATTTATCCGCAACATTCTCAAATACTATTGATTCGTCTTAATTATGTAAAATGCGTTTTATAACCGATGTGTGGAAAGACGAGTGCCGTACGATATCGCTACAAAAGAGAACGATACCGTCGACCTATACATTCAATCACGACTAGTACGTATTATAATAAAAACAATTATAAATAAATAGTCTTTTTTGCCGAGCATTGCACCACATTGAGCATACCACGCGACTTAATAGAAATAGTGATTAAGTGTCGAACATTTGCCGACTATGTAAGTGAACTTCGTACAGATCAATTTGGCCAACTTTATTTTTTCAAATTAAATCCTTCTAAAATAATTATTTTAGGGTAAGCCCCATATATATATATATATATATATATATATATATATATATATATATATATATATATATATATATATATACGGTACTGCAAACGCTTCGGAACATCAAATAAATTACATATATATTTTATATATACAAGGTGTTTTAGAACAAGCTACGAAGCGCTCATGGAGACATAGAACGAATTGAGATGAACATAAAAGTCCCATACCGTTTCGCAACAAATCGCGAGATATTAAATAAAGAAGACTAGTGAATCATCACGCGCGATATGGTAGATAAGCTGTAGTATCTCGTATACTTGTATTACATTAGGTCAACTGAACAAAAAAGTCATCTATCATTTTGTAAATTATTATATAGATTTTTAGTTGTTAATTAAAGAAGATTCATGTATTATCGTGCACAATCATGTAACAATTTTTCTTTTATTAATGGCTAAAAATCTATGTGGTTATTTGCAAAATAATAAAAAATTTTTTGTTTAGTTTGACCTAATATATAAGCACACATCACTACTACAGCTCATCTACCATATCGCGCATGATTATTCACCAATTTTCTTTAATTAACCTCGATATTTATTGCGAATATCGATATGGGACTTTTATGTTTACCTCAATCCATTCTACGTTCTCACAAACATTGTGGAGACGAATCCTTAGACATCCTATGTATACATATATATATATATATATATATATTTGGCAATGCTAAAAGAAATTTACCCTTAAATTTATATTGAAAAATTTGTTATTAACGAAGTTTATTAATGAGGATTTACGATAATGTAATTATCAATTCACCGTATTTGTTAATAATTCCATATTATGTAAAATTAAGGAATTACTCAAATCAACAAAGCTGGTCAAATCATTCTACATAATAAGTCTAAAACGCATCAATAATCACGTTTGGCGCATAAATATACAAGGTATTCTAAATATCGCACACTTTCGCAACTTGTGTAAATTTCCTGCAAAATTTCGAGCCAATCCTATATTGTTATAAAAATTGTATTAAATACAATATTCTTTAAAAACCTGTCGAGCTTAAATAGTAAATATTTAAATTTGGTCAATTAAGTGTCATAAAAAAAAATATTATCGAAATTCATAAAAAACACAACGAAACGTCTTATTAACGTTCCTCTGTTTGAATTGAATTCGCAAAAATCTTATTACTTCAAATCGATCTAGTTCCGCGCTATCAGTAACAAAAGGTAAGTTCAAATGCGGGATGACTAAAGTACCTTGTATGATTACGCATATTGATAAGTAAATCAGTTAAGAAGACTGTTATCTCTATTTCTTGTTTATCTCTAATTGCACACACGAATGCACGCACGAAAGCATACGCTTAATTCTTAATATTTGACTTTCGCTTTAACCTCCTCCGCGACGCCGCCCCACTTGAGCTTATAAACACGTGATCGCCACTGTATAAGAGGATCTAAGACAGCCTGAAGGAAAAGATACGGTCTCGTGGTCTCGCTGAGTAACCAACCGCACACAAATTCAAGTTTGTTGAATGGTAGCGGGCCATTCTGCACAATACACAATAACGTCCAATCGAACATAAACCACAAAAGTATGTGTACCAAGTAAAAAACTAGAGAGTCCCACTCGAATAGCACACTAGCTGCCCAAGAAGCACAACCACCCAGGACGAGACATTCGCTCAGTGGTTCCAAAACGATTGTGGTAGGTAACATCGCCACTCTCAGCTTAGCCCATCGTCGTAATCTCGCTCGAAAGGTATCCAACTCGCAGTGGCCGCTATTCTGAAGCGCCGGCTGCGAGGACACAGTGATGCGCCAACCGCGATCGGTTAGCGATTTAGCGTAGAAAAAGTCTTCTGCGAGATAGATGCCGAACGCTTTCAAACCGCCGACCTCGTCCAATGTGGACTTTCTCAATAAAGCCGACATTCCTGTATGGCAGTTTATCCTAAGCAAATCCGCGGCGAGATACATTCGCGATTGCACAGTACCAAAAAAGATTTTCTCGTAGGCAGCGGCGAAACCCTCTCGATCACAGGTAAACGGCATCTGGTGAACCAAAGCTACTTTGTCTGTCATATAATTCACCATATCCAACAAAGTGTCTTCCTTCATGCGTATACCACTGTCGCTTATCAGCACAAGTTCGTATTTGGCAGCCTCATAGGCTGGCTGCATGTTGTTGATCTTTGGATTCACTCCTACGTTACAACCACCGACGAAAAGTCTCGCCTCAACTTCCGGATATTTTTCGATCAGTTTGCGCACCAACATCAATACGGGATCCGAATCATCTTCCACGCAAAATAGAAGTTCGTATCGAGAATACTCCATCATGAAGAAGGTTTCGAGGTTGCCGAAGAGGTTTGGATCGACCCCCATCAAAGGTTTTATTACGGAAACACCTGGTAAGGGTGTTTCATAGCTGGGTGCTTGGTTTACTTTGCGATGTAATTTCCAACGGCCCGCGATCAACGCCAACACGTGCACCACCCACATGCCCGACCAGAATATCATGAAAAATATCGCGAACCCGTACAGAGTATATAGCATGGAGTTCATTTTCCAGGGCGAAGGCTTATTAGGTCACCGCGATTTAACGTGCCGGCCCCGAACCGGTGACGGCACCCTCTTGTCCTTTGTTTGACTTCCTTACCGGTCGCCGCGTTCTACCGCGATCCACCAGTATTCCTCGCGACCGGGTATCCTCGTATGGAGCCAACGGCATAACGGAAGTCTTCGCGGCATGCTCCACGCAGACTTTACGTAGAGCGTTGCGCGCTACTGTCATTATCAGCCATTGCTATATTTATCATTTTCACAGCCAGGTCACGGCTTACGGCGACGGCGACGACGACGACGACGGCGACGACGACAACGTGTTCGCCCTTTGCAATGCATTCACGCCTTTGACCGTCCTTAATGAACCAGCCGTTCAACGTTGTGTCCGATGTGTGCTGCTTCTTACCGTTTACCGTGGTTCTAACGATAATTTTGTCTCACGTCAACTACGCGATTGAACCCTGTAGCCGACTGACGAGAGCCACGAAGCTCTGTTCCTCGTTTTTCCTTGTACCAAGACTCCACCTTCTGTCGAAACGGGACGCGCATACGTAATCCGGATACGTTGAGACACATCGCTGTCACCGATCCACTCGATCTTACGTTCGAAAACATTTAACGTTAACGTGTCAGTGTAATCACCGACTACATCGAGTCCTCCACTGTCTTTTGTGAATCTTGGTAACATTGACACTTTTCTATTGACACACGCGTTAACGACAAATCGTTTCCTTGAAGACCGATTTTTTTATCGGGACACTCGAGTAAAGTTTCTTGTCGGGTTCTTAGATCGTTGCATTATATCGCAGTGATTGAGATTTTCGCAGAGCAAAGTAAAGATTCATTTCACCAGCGCCAAAACACTCAGATGTATTGACGGCGCTGACATTAGCCGCCATGACGCGCGCGGTCTTCGCGTTCCATCGACTCTCTTCCCTTCCCATTTTCCTCCCACACTCTCTAGACGCGATACATTGGCTGCATTCAGCAGACTCAACAGTTGCACAACAGTTGAGTAATTTGTCAATGTAATTGGTCTAGATTTAGGAATCTAATAGCAAGAACCAATAATCGTTGATTGCTCACTGAGCGCTTTTTCTACTGAATGCGCCCATTGGCTTGGTTTACATCGTGCACTTGATACGCGTACTAAATAGTAACTTTCTATTAGATAATCTTAATATCGACAATGCATATCAATGGCGACGCATTCAATCATTACAATACGTTTTGTTGATGAGTATTATACCAGCTTAATATACCGTTGTTTATATCGTCGATATTAAGATTATCTAATAGAAAGTTACTATTTAGTACGTGTATCAAGTGTACGATGTAAACCAAGCCATTGGTTTGGTTTACATTGTGCACTTGATACGCATACTAACTTATAGCGAATTCGGTAGCTTGCACTAGTGCGCACTGAGTGCGCATTAAGGCTTGTTTATAGTACACTCTTATATTTAAGATCGTGTATTAAATACATATTTAAAAACATTTTAACTAATAAAATGATTCGTACGGATGTTATACATATTATATTATGGTTAAAAATATTTGAGAATTTATTTGAGAATTATTTAAGACAATCTTTAAATATAATAACATACTATGAACAAACCTTAGTGCGCACTCAGTGCACACTAGTGCAAGCAACCGAATTCGCTATTACTTACTTGATACGCATACATAGTAACTTTCTATTAGATGATCTTAATATCGATAATGAATATCAACGATAACGCATTCAATCAATACAATACGTTTTGTTAATGATACCAGCTTAATATACCGTTGTTTATATATATCGTCGATATTAAGATTATCTAATAGAAAGTTACTATTTAGTA